CGCGTAGCCAAAGTATGCTTAAGGATTTCAACTGAAACGCAGAAAACAATCGAGAGAGGGGACATGCGGCATGGAGCGTGACGCAGATTGAACAAGGAACCGCTTACTACACACAGCAAGCGGTCGAACAACTCGAGACGGGGCAGGGAGTGATGAGTGCAGTAAACAACAGTAAAAAACATGATAGAACAGCTTGAACGTCCAAAACGTGCGTAGGGCAGGGAACCAATTTATGGAAATAACTGACGAGAGGTCACTCAAGGAGAAACTCTGGAAAGTTGGAAAGAAATGTGAGGTAGTTACTCATTGTACGTAGCAGCAATGTAACAACGACACTCTTAAGTTCGAAGGTAAACAAGAATTGGCGAAACAAAGACAAAGAGAACAACTTAGAGACAGCAAATAACCGCTTAAGATGAAGAATAGAATATGCATAACACGATGACAGTCACAACAGACAAAAAATAGAAACATACGTCAACGCATGTGGCAGAAAGGGTACATAATCTTCAGAGTTTTCAAAGGGTTTACATCGCATGCGAATTTTTGGTGCTTGTGGAAGTTCGTAGTCTCTAGGTAGAGAAAAATGAGACAGATAAAAATAACATGCATTACTTACGGACAGACAGCCGATATCCACGGTGTCGATTTAGATCCTTTAGTCATAACAGATCATGATCTTCGCTTCCCGATCGATGGTTATGGTCATCAGTTGATTGCGAACTGGACAAACAACTTAAAGAAAATGCAAATGAGATGACAAAAGACGAGAAATACTTTATAGAAGGCATGCAGATGATCAGAAAATAGGTAAGTAAATTTCGGTTACGGCAAGGAAAAAGGACACACAAAGGAAAATAGAGGTGGTACAATAGAAACCAATCTAGAATGCGGCCAAAACGTATGTAAATTGATCAAAAAGCCAAAATGCATATGAAAATGGACAGCTTACCATCAAAACTGAAAATGCAGACGGTAAGAAGCCGCAGCATCAATTGTGACTTATAGTTTATTGTTCGATTTGCGTGCCGTTGTTTCTGATTGAATGAAATTAGCGTTGACTTTCTCGTGACTGAAAGGAGTAAAATGCGGAGCTTGACAATGTCGTTTTCTGAATTAAACCTAACGCATTGTTATATAATTTTTCATTTTATTACTTAATTTGGCTCAGATTCAGGGAGTGCAAAACCACTGTTAAATATGTGAGTGCAATATCGGCAACTATCTTGCATCTCAGTGTGGTAAACCACCAGTGGGAACGGTGCAAACTGGAATAGTTGCCCTCCCATTTTTTTAAAGAGCTTTTTGTGTCGTAGCCGTTGCTTCTTTTTGATGAATCTATGAATGATTTCTGTTTCAGTGCAAGGTAGCAAGGTCATGGTGATCAGTTTATGACGGAAGATGTGAGTTCAACTGGCATAACATGGAAAGCCATCCTGGGCTAGTTTTCTAAGCTTGTTTCTGCCTGTTTATCTTACTTTTTGCCCCCCCCCCACTCCACAGTTACTACTTCCTAAATGCTTTTTTCCTGATCACTAACGTTGTTTGCCTCCAACGATGTGAAGCAATACTTTAGCATGCTATGTTCAGCCACGGAACACCTTGCTCTGATAAGGCAATGTACGCGTTCGCTGACTCGGTTCATCAATTTACTACCGGCTTCTCCAATGTAGCTTTTGCTGCGCGAGCAATTTATCCGATATGTTACTCCGGCTGCTCATGTTTTTGTATGATGCCTTTCATATACAGTACATGGCAAACCTTTTTTGGGATCTGCAGAATGTGGTCACTATGCATTTGATCATGGTACGTTTTATTCGTACACTTGTTTAACACGGACAAATCGGAAAGACGCAGCCAGCTTCAGGAATCTTCCCTACTTGTTATCGTTGCCTCTGAGTTTTGGATCCTGTCCGCTTTGTGCTGAAAGTCTTCAAATACCGATTTTTCTCCAGTTCAACTTTAATGTTGCTGTTGACCGTCTGGAGTAAAGAGATGTTCACAAAACAGTTTTATGTTTCGGAGGTATAATGTTTAAACAGGTGCAGTTTTTATGCATATGGGGTATGGGAATGGAAATTGATGTAGCGTCCGACGTGCGTGGTTTTTTTATATGCAGTGATGTTCATTGTCCCGCTCTTTCTGTACGCAATCGCATCAAAATGAAAGCTCCCCCTCCAACTAGTAGGCGAACTGAATGTTTTTGAGGATGGAGTTGAGAAGTTTGCGAACTAAGTTCAGTTGTTTTTCCACGTGAGGTCACAGGACTGAGGTGTTGTTCACGTGCCTATAACTGCGAGTTTTGACATCTTTTCCGTTTTCAAATTTATGCTAACCACATGCGTTTTACATCATCCGACAGAGACTAACCATACCTAACCACATGGCCCTCCAATCTAGGTGAACTGGAGCAGATGTTTTGGAAGGCACACAAATATGCTTAGACTCAGCACAATTCTTAGCAATTGGAGAGCAGAATTGCAGTCAACAGACTGGCGCCATGGGATTGGCATAGTACAGGTATGTGGATGACACCTGGATCTTGTGGCCACATGGAGAACATTCATCCATAACGACGCCTCGAAGTCAGCCTTGTAGGTAAAGTTTAAGGTTCAGAAATAGTTCTGGTCGTTTGCAACCGTTCTTAAGCTATAGACGAATGGCAAAGTTATGGTTAGTGCTGCGGGTTAAATGGTTTGCGGCCAGATCTACAACGAAGTCTGTCCAATCGTTGTCCAGATCATCTCATTTGTACCGGTTGACCGGATAATTAATACTTCCATGGAGCACCTGTCTAGAGTATTCAAGTGCAAAGGCAGACTACTATGTCCTGACATGATAGGTGCCTGAAAATTACAGAGTAGACAGTTTTTTATTAATCAGACTGCAAATCTGGCTTTCTAGAATTACGAGTTACTTGACATACTCTGGCGTACTAACTGAAGTATTTAATCCTGTTGTGTCCTTTACCACATGGATTGGTCCCTTCACACCGTTTCTTTTCTTTTTTTTATCCTTCTAGATTAGTCTCTTTTGAACAGTCGACTGCAGAGCACTTCCGGTTTTATATGCCTACAATAAGCACGAACTCGTTAGTGGCACCATTGCCCTTCCGCTGCTTCGGTGCACATGCATCGAGTAGCTTTCTTCGATTGACACTTTTGGTCGATTGCATGCGACGTCCTTTGTTCCGTCTAATTTCCGTTGCTCATGTTGGTTGTTACCCTATGACAACAATCATTATTTGGCTTTAAGAGATGAATCGCTGTAGTAATTTAATACCCTCGACCTTTAACGCAACAATTGCCTATTGTCGTTTATAATCATGCATGAGAATCGGTGTATGAATACGGTCATTATGCAGTAAAAATCAAAATTTGTAAGCAAACGTTTGAATGATCAGACCTGGTGAGCTGCGGCAAACGGCAATCCGTGATGTCATGATTTTAAATCGCTCCTTCTACAGATCGAACGATCATTCTGTTGATTTAAGTACTTGCCAATGGAAAGACTCGCAAGGATGATGGTCGTTGCGTAGCCACACGGCTGAAAGTGAAGGTCAAATCGATAATAAGATAGTCGGATTTGGTTGAATATCTGGCTTGAGGGTGAAATTTGTGAAATCAGCCAATGGAATGTTGGTCTATTGATGGAGAGCCAAGGCAGTTCGAAAAATGTCCTGAAACCGATGCTCAGCAAACAATGAATTGCTGAACATGAAATTGAATAACTGAACATTCAAAACGGATAATTAGTTAACTAATCAAGGCAGAAGGCCTGAACTAGCTTACAGTCTTTCCTGCTTTTGAAAAAGGTAAAACTTAAACGATAAAATAGCATTGAAAAATTGAAGTTTTAATTGTATTATTCCATTGAAGCTGTTTAATACGCTGAAATTTGTGTGCAACTCAGTAGGTTTAGCAAAGTAGGAAGCAATTCAGCAAATCGAGTAAATATCACCGAAAATGACATGATCATCGTCACTGAGGATCAGTCGGTTGAGTTATGCCTCTGCGCTCCTCCGATGATTGCTGTAATTTCATTATCAGATTTGATACGTTATAGCGGATATCCGAAGCAACGATGACGCAATTTTCTATTAATTCGATTGAGGTATTGACCAGCTGAATTCCACAAATCGTGGGGATCTGGACGGGAGATTCCTGCAGCACCTTTGCGAGTTTTTCCTGGACCATGGGCCAAGCACTGCCTCTGAGAAGATCCTCCAGAAACGGTGTCAGGACGTTTGTGAGAATCGTCCGCATGGGCATCTTGATGATCGTGATGCCGACGCTGTCGAGGTTCGTTTCCAACTGGAGGCGGCCGTCAACAAACTGTACGGTGGCGCGAACATCGACGTTGATGGCGGCTGTCAGGACGTTAACTCGGATCAGGAATCCGTAGGCGACAATCTTCACAAAGCCCTCGGCTTTGATGCGGATGTTGTTCTTGGAAATGGACACGACAGGCACTTTCGACAGCGATGCCTGCAGTCGGGCTCTGCAACCCCAGCATATGAGCCTCAGAGGAATTTTCAAAGAGTTCGGCACCTGACTGCCGTTGAGGTTGATTTCGACCGAGGCCAGGTCAGCCAGATACACATGGTACAAGAAACTGTTAGGCAGAATGTCGGTGATCGCAACGGCGAACATCTTCGAGGTACGAGGAACGAACGTAACATGGGACTGCAACGGTGAATCGTTGCCGTGGTACAAAAAACGGCCTGCAAACGCTACCAGTGCATCGTCATGACGGTACTGCATCGGACACACCATCTTCATGTCGATTGTGAAATTCGAAACCTTATCGGTGACCGCTTTCATCTGATGAGGCGCAGACAACATCGTCACGTTCGGGAGGTTGCCACAGAAGAAACTCGCGTCGAATGCCTCAAATTGGGTTTTCCTTCTGAAGAAAGAAAAACTTAATCACATTCACATTTTAAAAGTTTTCTGCTCTTATATGTAACATGGTAATACATGGGTTATGCGGCAGGCCAAACCGTTGACTTTCTTAACGGCAAATTAAAATAACTGACATATCGATCTCAGCAAATACCATAAAGCATAAAATTCGGAATATGTCATTTATGGTGGTGGGGATGGTGGCTATCCGTCATGCCATTTTATTCGATGTGCTGATCATCATGGAATGTCCGATTTAATCGGAATGAGAGTCACTTGCACATGACCCACTTTTAATATGTTGTGTACTCAGTTACTTTAGAGGACAGCGGTATAACGATAAGAGACCGGCTTCAAATGTCAGAAGTGCAGTCGTCAAATCCTAGAAATTAAAAATTTCTCATAATTACTAATTCCCTTCAGCAAGAATGCATCCAACGTGGCTTGGAAAGGTGTTGCAAATCATTGACTTATGAACATCATGGACAACATGCTGTTCTGGTGTGTTCATATAAGGATGGATGAGATGAACAGACGTGTTGCCTGATGCGAACGCCACTTTTGGCAACGTTTCGCCAGGGTCCCCATGAGAGCTTACTATGCAGTACGACAATCAGCTAAGTGTGTAAATGCTGTTGTTTAGAATTTTTAAATTAGTGGTAGCGATCACACGAATGCTGTGTTCTAAACGTTTGATGACTAAAATTAATAACTTTTCATAAAGTTATAATTTCCTCCATTAGCATATCAACTGAAAAGACGAAGAGGGCAGTAGCTGCCATGGAAAAAAATCTGAAGCCTTATAAAGATAAGAAAAAGCGAAGCAAGTAAATAAAATAAGAAGGTCATGATGCCGGCCTTTTTTTTTAATTCATAACTGGAAGAGGAACAGAAGCGAAACCGATAAGGTGGGTTTTGCTAGAGTTTCAAACGAAGGCCTAAAACAAAAAAAGACGATATAAATGGTAGCGACGTAGAGTAACTGAAGCAAATTGGTGGGAAGGGGTAAGCTTACTCCAAATAAATCCGTTATTGTCATGACTATAAATAACACGTCATAACTATTGAATTATGAGAGTGAAACTAAAAGGCTAATATCTGTGACAGTGACCCCTGAACACAGGGTTTGTTTTGTCTAATAACTTTATATTGTACGATTTAGGTCCTGTGTTGATTTTAGATGAGTCGATAAGCACTGCACAAAGAAAACGCATGACAGCATATTCATGCTTCGCGCCCTCTGACATGACCACCTCAGCGTATCACGCTGACAGTATTATTCCTAGGTCACGAAGTAACTAACTATACTCCACACTCCCTCTGCGAGTTGCATCGAAGCTGATGTGAAACCACTTTTAAGAGCAAAGCAGTTTACTAACGCTCGCAACACTTCCCTCCCAGTCCATATCAGAATGGCAGTTAGCAGAAAAGGACAATGACATACTGATAGATTATTGACTAAAGAGTTAGTATATACGTTTTAGCACAAAGAACAAGTTGCAATGAATATTTGATACCGCTCGACTAAAGACAAAACAGTTGGTACGACAGTCCAGTGCCAAGTGACCACAGCCAAGATAGTCAAACTTGGCGATGCTCGCAATCTGAAGTCTTTGCGATCTTTAACCTATAATGTTATGTGTGTATGTATCTGGAGGATGTCACATTTTGTTAATGGCGAACACACATCTATGAATAATGGGACGTAATATAATTAATGTTATTACGCACCGTCTGACGTCATCTTTTGCAATCGAGGAACAATGTAAAGATGAGTCCATCAAAGAGAGGCATAAAATGAGAGAAGCAGTAAAGTTTATGCGGTAGATCGTAAGGAGTAGCCACTCCTGAAACATCGTTCCTGGTGAATGTGAGGTAGTGCTAGAGAACAAAATAATGCGAGATGCACCAGGCTTTGCAGATATTTAAATACTTTAGAGCCGTTGCTTGCTTAAATGCCCCCCCCCGCCCCTAGGCAATTAGGAGCATAAGGATGATGCGGTATGCCGTGAAATCTGATCTCGGAAAAGCTCCATTTTTTAATGGTAATGTCGTATGCACAATGTGCAGAGCAAGAGAAAATATGCATGTTGTAAAATCTATATAATCTAATAAATTTTAAGACCGCTGAGGGAATAAACCTTAAACGAGGCAAATTCGCTGATAGTTCGATTAGACTGTTTTCATTCATGAAGTGAGCGCAAGATGGTGGATTTAGTGATGGAACACGTAGACAAATATTACTGCAAGATGTACACTTACGCTGCAGCGTCCAATGTGTCATTGAAATCGAGGGTTATATTGTCTTTGCCGAGGTGTCTGAAAAAGAGACGTTAAAAGACATTGAAGTTAGAATAAAAAAACAAAATAATACAATGATCGTATTTATTTGCCGTGTGGCGGTTTACAGCCTTACTTGATCGATTGAATTAGTTTTGATGTGATGTAAAAGTAAAATTTTCTAGGAAGGGACCAAGTGTAGTCTACTCGAAGGAGGGGTAAAGGAAAAAAAACCTTGAGGTAGTGCGCATTCGAAACGTTGGAACTCACCCAAACTGTAGTCTGAAAACGAACGTTCCTATTCCAGCCGTCCAGAGCTTTACTTAATCCCTCGAAACATACTAACCCGCAGAAGGAAGCGCCTTTCTTCGTGTTCAGACCAACATATAAGCGGGCGATCACTCTTTTCTGCCAAAATGCTTCGTGACCACCGACAACCGGTGAAGCAACAGACCGGTAGTCCGGAACAGACCAACAGGCGTTAAGCCTGCATGATGCGACGTCATTGCTATAAAAGCTCAAATTTAAGAAAACTGCTCTCGATACACATGTTATCAAAAATGGTGAAATTAAAAAAACGCGTTTACCCTTCTGCTCGCGGTTCATGTAAGTGTCAGATTGCACGAAGGCACTCGCACAAGGCTGGAAGCCCTGTACAGAGAATGAAAGAAACCGTATGAACAAGTGTAATTTGAGACACGGTATGAACAGAACCCCAACTACCATGCGATCAGTCACTTGCTGACAAGGGTACGAACTTCCTCAGCATCGAGTGTTTACGTACGAATTGAATGGCAGGACAGCCGCCAACAGATCTGATCACCTGAGTCTGGTTTCCAAGAAGCCAGTCGCGTTGCGGATCTGCTCACAGAGGATGGTGCCAAGGTGGTTGTTGAGGAACGACTCGATGGTGATGCGCATCGTCGACAGCAGCGAACCGGACCACCCTTTGTCGGAGAACACCATGCGGGTGTCGTCCAGTTTCGAAAGGCAATGTGCCACGGAAATGTCAGGCAGGCCGTTCGACGCTCTGTCGACGTTGACCAGCACTTGCAGCTGGAGCCTGATGAGCTGTGCTCGCAACACGCCGCTGCTGGACACGAAGCCGACGTTCGCCTCGTACTTGCCGGACATCGCCAGCTTCGGTACGACGATCGTCGCCGCGATGCCGATCAGAGG